ATTGTATTGGAGGGAGATCATAAGCTGCCCCCTTCAGTTGTGCATAAATTTTTGAGTAGGTCTTTTTTCAGCAGACCTGTTAAGAACAGACAGGTGAACATGTGAAAAGTACCCAGGATCTCCACTTATTGCACATGGAAATATGAACTAATCATATCTCATATTTGGCATGGTGAAAATTATTATGACCATTAAAAAAGAAAATATATAAAACACTAAACTTTCCCTTTAAAACCTACTTTGAACCTGTAAAAAATTAGGTATGCAGGCTATCTATAAGGGCAGAAATATTGGAGCTGCTATTACTGACTTATTTTTTTTGAAGATACAGGCTCCAGGACCAACATATTTATCCTTGCTTTAGCACTCCGAAGGCGTGTGACCTGGTCTGAGCATCAGTATATAGAGTTTTAGAACACATGATATATATATATATATATATACACACGCCTGTTCCAGCCCATTGACCTTCAAAGTATTGAAGTAAGGATCAGGATGACAGAACTGAAGCTTACATTTTAACAAGTCAAACTAGTATATTTCTGTTATTGCATGTCCCTTTTTTGCATATTGCAGTGTCTGGCTGAACCTAACAATTAAGACTGAACAAGGGTGCATTCCTTGGACATCGAAGAGAAAAATAGTACTTTGTTAATTCTTGATCACAATGAGTTAAAATAAAAGGAGAGAACATTTTCACTTGACTACTAAAGAAGAAATTCTGAAAAAATGGTAAATGCAAAATTGTTTGCAATCTTAGACGCCTCAGATGGTATTTGTCAGATTCCAAAAGGCAAAAAAAAGCAGAAAACTCTGTTCATATAATATGCCTTTCAGAAGCTACTGATTCAGACATCTTCCCTTTGAATTAACTTCAGCTCTTGCGTTCATTCAGAGGATTGTGTAGCAGATTCTGTAAGGGATTGAAGGAGCCAAGGTCTAGACAGATTATATTTTGATTGGGGGTGTCACAAAAGCTGAGAATGATAAAAAAAAAAAAAACAGGAATAATGAAATAAAGAATAGAATTAAAACATAATACCTACCAAGTTAAAGGGAAACTGCAATGGCATTTTGTCATTTTTGTATTTTTTTTCTAAATTATGAGATTAAATGGATATAGCATTTTTACTATTTACATAGTCTTAATTTTAAACATATATTACAGGTTACATCCATGACACGTGTCATATGGCATAATGGATTTTTCTAAAGAGAAGACAAGGTAAAAGCTGTGTGCTTTTGGACTGTTTCTCTCTGTATATATAAGTGCAGGGAAGGTTGACATGGAAGGGGGAATACGTCAATCTACTGGCAAAGTGTCTAAATTGCAGTTTAAGCTTTTGAGCTTTGTTAACATTTTTTTTTAGCAAAACAGATAAGGATAGAAAGGAAAACATTATAACAAAAACAGCACTCAACTACCTATCCCAAAAAACCCAAACAAGTTTTTTTTTTTTAATATATTTTTTTTATTTTTTTTTTTCAATATATATATATTTTTTTACTGTATTTATAATATGAGTTTGGTGGTAATATATTGTATTTGGTATTTCTATACTATTGTATAATATATTGTAATAGGGGAGATGGATTGGGGATGGAGTATAAGGTGGAGAAGTGCTCTGATCCCTAATCTAATATTTTATCTATGTCCGTTTTTTTATATAACTTTTATATGTCAGTTTTTTTTTCCATTGCTATAAATGGCCATTATTGGCGTGCTACCCGTCTTTGAGACGGGTTTATAGTTATAAACATGCTTGTATGGCCAGGGTATATAGGGTGGCTAGTGTGGGTATGTTGCCCTTTTGCCAGCCGAGTTAAACCTGGGACACAAAGATGTAAGTATCCGGTTTTTCCAGAATGTAAGATGGCCACGGCTGGGGTTCCACCTCTCTAGCCAGTGGGTATTTATAGCGAGTGAGTACACACGTCCGTATCCTTGTTGAAAAAGTCCGGATGTGACGAAACGCGTCCGGGGCACGTGACGTATTGACGTTTTCCGGAAGTGCCGTGGCGGCCATTTTGGGTTCTGGAACACGTGGCTGTTCTCACCCTGGAGACTTCCATCTACTACCTGGCTCTTCTTCAGAGTGGTATGGCCATGAATATATAGTTACCGCTGAGGAGTGATGTTGTTTTGACCATCTCACTATATGGAAGCTGATCTCATTAAATTTTAATGTAAGTTGCTACAATAAAATATGTTTGTCATCTAATACATATACTGATCCCTGGTCTGTTTATGAGGTCTATGGGAAGTGTTTGGAGAAGATGGTAGAATAATGTTTGGAGGCAATCTCATCTTTATTATGGATCCTATGCCGATTTTATCTATGTTAGGGTAATTATGCACTTTTTATATTGTGTGCAGTGGATTTATTAATTGAGTTGTTGGAGTCCTGATATTTCATGATTGCTGTGGCACTTTAGTTTGTCTGCATGTGACACGTGTGGCATTTTATTACAATACCTGGGATAATACACTATGTTTAGAATCTTTTTCTTTGAGGTATATGAAGATCCTCTGGAGTATACCATCAATCTTATTCGGGGATAAGAATTATTGTGAAATCACCTGCAAGAATTTTTGGACTTTAATTTGGACTTTACTTGGACTTTAGGTGTAGTGACACTTTATATGTGTTTATTTAATCAAGAAAGGAAAACATGTTAAAATGTTGAAATATTTACATGTAATATTCATATTTATCTAGAAAAAAAGTAGGCTTTTATTTATTTATAAAGAAAATATATCCAAAACTACTATAGATTCTCTTAAGAAAACAGACATTCTGCATCTTAGGTTATGTTTTCAGACCTCTGCATTTTTCAAACAGAGTATTGTCTATTGCGGTGTAGACACAAAATCAAAGGCAAAAAACATTTAAACTACATACAGCCAATGGCCATTTGTTATGCAGCAAACACACTTTCTCAAGGCATTCGGACAATGCCACTTCCAGGCCCAGCCCATTTAACTTATACAGTATATGTGTGTGTATATAATAATATATATAGTTCTAAAGGTACCCATGGCACTCTGAGATAAATGCCCAGGTGCTCACCCACAAAGAAATCCATATAAATCCAATACTGGTTTAGAGGCGCTCAGATGTCTTGCAGAGGAGGAAGATCAAGAAAAACTTTGATCTTTCTCCTCTGCAAGACCTGTGAGGGCCTCTAAATCAGTTTGGGATTTATATATATATATATACACACACACTACTTTTATCTTTCTAAGGACTTAACCAAAGCAGTATGAATCATTTAAGATAAATGCATTGGCTTATTTCTATTGTTTAACCTAATGAGCTAATGGCTCCTCCATAGATTAATCTGGCTTCTCCCTGCAGTAAATTTTTACCTCTGTCTTGTCTGCGTTTCATCACATTCATATTTTTATGTCATCACTTTTATATCACTACTATGACAGCTCTGAGCATGACTGATAAATTGCGTGGCCCTCACTCCCAGTCTCGATTGATCTGAAATGTTTCTGAATCTGATCTTTTATCATTTTAATAATTTTACCAAAGTAATATGTGCATGAACATGTTATGCAATGCTCAACACATCTATATGTTAACTGATTCTATAGTATATACAGTGTGTATGTATATATGATTTGGAGAGGATCTGCCAAGAGGAGTGGGACAAAATCCCTCCTGAGATGTGTGCAAACCTGGTGGCCAACTACAGGAAACGTCTGACCTCTGTGATTACCAACAAGGGATTTGCCACCAAGTACTAAGTCCTGTTTTGTGAAGGGGATCAAATACTTATTTCCCTCATGAACATGCAAATCAGTGCATAATTTGTTAGGCATGCATTTCTTTTGAATTTTTTGTTGCTATTCTGTCTCTGTTACAATACACCTACCATTCGATTTTTAGTGTGTGTGTGTGTATATATATATATATATATATATATATATATATATATATATATATATATCCCCCAAAGTCCGATCTTTTTACAGTATCTAACATGGAAATATACTGCAATTACCACATCTATAATTACATATTGGATGCATATCTCTTAAAAGGAGTGTTTCTTCTCCTGCCTAAACTCACTCTTAACCAATAAATCTTTATAGTACATGTCCTAAAAGTTATATATAATTAGACACTTTTCAGCTCTGTCTTTATATGTTATTTTATGTTGCATTTTTTGTCAGTTCTTTCTGGTCTAAGTTGATCTGCCATTGGCGGGAATTATTATTATTATACAGTATTTATATAGTGCCAATAGTTTGCTCAGCGCTGTACATTATAGTGGGAGACAGTACAGTAACAATACAATGCGATACACGAGGGGTTTGAGGGCCCTGCTCCTTGAAGCTTACAATCTAGAAGGGAGGGGATTTTAAAAACAAACATAAAACTAATTTCTTATGTCACTTTTCCTATTCCTAGTTTTAATTAGTTCTTTCAAATAAATTTAAGCAGGCCACAGATTATGCAATTTTCATTCCTTTCACCATGGGGGAATCGTACAATTTTCTTTCCTTCTACCCATCAACTAAGTCAGTGATGATAGAGGAATAAAGATTAATATATATATAAACCTGTGCTAGTAAGAACCACAGCAAAACAATCAATGAGTTGTGAAACATATAGCAGCTGAACACAAAAACCCTGATACTAGGCAATCAGTAATAAGTAAGAGTGCAGGGCTTAAAAAAGTGACAATAATCATAAAAAAAACAGTGAAAAAGTGTGTCAAAAAATAGTCCATCCAAAAATGAAAGAAAAGTCCCAGAGGCTGTGATGAAACAAAAGAAATCCAAGGACAGTTGTGTCACCAACCACTACTACAGAAGGCTTACCAGGAAGGCATGACCCCCTGTTAACCTCCTTGGCGGTTTTCCCGAGTGTAGCTCGGGGTAGAATTTCTATACCAAGAACGGTAACCCCGAGCTACACTCGGGCTTACCATGCAGCGTTCTCTGGGGGTCCCTGCAGCACTTACCTTGTCCTTCGCTCCCACGATGGGTCCCCTGCAGCGTCCCCGTCCATCTCCTCCGGCGGATGCCGGCATCTGGCTTCCGTGTTCCGGTCCCTGTGTGACGTCGGAACGTTTCGGGCGGCGGAACCGGCGGGAAATTTGAAATTTTTAAAAAATGACTTTTTGCTGTCATTGCTTTTTCACTGAATTTCACATACATTTTGTCCCCACTGCTTTGTCCTGTGCCCTGCCTGCATTTTGACTGTTCTTTCTGCCTGGAAACTTAGAAAAGTCCATGGCGGCCAAAAAGCATCCCATTACGTCAAAAGCGGTTTTAGAACAGCGATAGTAAATCAGAACTACTTGCAGAATTGAGTGATAATGATTTGTGGGGAAATTCATCATCAGACACTGAAAACGATTTTGCGACTTTGCTCAGCGATGTGCGAATTTGCCTCTGTATTTCAAATTTCAGTGTTTTTGGTTTGATTATATTATTGAATTAAATGTATTATTATTATATTATTATTTTTTATGATTATTTATTAAATTATAATTTATGATTTCGTGTTTCAAGTTTTATCATATCCGGAATGTTTAATAGACTCTTTTTCGGATAGATTTCAGTGAGTTATTCCTAAAAATTACAGCCTACAATAAAAAACTACATATTTCCATGCAAAAAAATGGTACCGCTTTTTGGTACAAAATTCCTGACATAATCATACCACCAGGGAGGTTAAGAGTGGTCAATCACGCTTTGTTAAACAATCCAGAAAGCCGGTCACTCGAATCCTCCTCCAAGTCTCCAAAAGAGCAGATAAGGATATTCCAAACAATGGACCTTAATTAGGGTAGCTAAACCGCTCAGGATAAGACTTGGACTCATAGTGGAAAACATGCAAAGAAAGAGCGCTCCACATAGTGTGAAACCATAATCACAACATTTATTTAACCACTAGCCTACAGGGCTCTTATACCCCCTTCCTGCCCAGGCCAATTTCCAGCTTTCAGCGCTGTCGCACTTTGAATGACAATTGCGTGGTCATGCAACACTGTACCTATATGAAATTGTTATTTTTTTGTGACAGAGCTTTATTTTGGTTGTATTTAATCAACTCTGGATTTTTTCTTTTTTCTTAAACAAACCAAAAACCACTGAAAATTTTGAAAAAAAAAAAAATGTTTTTTCTTAGTTTTTGTTATAAAAAAATTTTTAAATAAGTGATTTTTCTCCTTCACTGATGTGCGCTAATGAGGCTGCAGTGATGGCCACTGATAGGCTGCACTGATGGACACTGATAGGTGTGCACTGATGGGCGCTGATGAGGAGGCACTGGTAGGTGGCATTGACAGGCATCACTGATAGGCACTGAAAGGCAGCACTGATACATGGCACTGATAGGCGGCACTGACTGGCACTGTTAGGCGGCACTGACTGGCACTGATAGGTGGCACTGACTGGCACTGATAGGTAGCACTGATAGGTGGCACTGACTGGCACTGATGGGTGACACTGAAAGGCAGCTCAGATGGGCACTGATATGTGGCATTGATGTGCACTGGTAGGCACTGATATGTGGCACTGATGGGCACTGGCACGAGGCACTGATGAGCACTGACTGCTGGCACTGATAGACACTGACAGGTGGCACTTCTGGGGCCACACTGATCATCAGGGCACACTGATCATCAGTGCCCTGATGATCAGTGTACATGTCCCCTCCGTGGAAAGCCGATTACCAGCTCTCCTCTCCTCTCGAGCTGTCAGCGTGACAGCTCGAGAGGAGAGAAATGCCGATAACCGGCATTTCCCTGTTTAGATGTGATCAGCTGTGATTGGACACAGCTGATCACATGACCGAACCGACATCTTCGACTCTTTCTGTGATCGGTGATCCGCTGTGTCCGAGGGACACAGCGCACCGCCGATCGCCGCGCTGTGCAATCCCTGAGCCCCGCATGCGCAGTGAGAATGGGAGGACGTCATATGACGTCCTCCCAGAACGAGAGAGCCACCTTGTGCCCGTCATATTACTATGTGGCGGGCGGGAGGTGGTTAAAGTATGGTTGCACTCACATGTAACTAAACATTAGGCATTGGTCAAAAAATCCAAGTTTTCCAGTTTCCAAAATGGCCGGATGGACTATTTCTTGACACACTTTTTTAAGATGATAGGGGAATGCCTCCTTCAGCGCAGCGGGGAGCTTTCACTGCTGGCAGAACACAATTATTATTGCTGGCAGCTATAGCTGCCATTAGTAATCACGTGTAAAAAAAATCTAACAGGCTGGTTGTACTGAAGTTGATCGGTGGATTGATTTTGGTACAACCAGCCTGCACATAGATGGTATCTGCTGAATCTATGGACTGCTTTACTCTCTCTTAAGAATGCCTCTTCAGTCTCCTGTTTATCATACTCTCTTCTTTCTAACCCTACACTTAAGTCTCTAGCTTGCTCTATAAAATTTTGCTCTTTTATTTACTTCGCTTTAAACGTACAAACTGCCCATAAGGAATAGCTTGTTTTGCTTGAGAGGGATCGATAATGTAGAAGGTAATTGAGGATATATCTATCCTATAGCCAAGAGTAATCATTTTGGCAGTCATGAGCTTCAAATCACTTCCACCATGTTTGTGGTATCAGAATTTCAGTATTACATCCATTCTTCAAATTGTTTTTGACTACAAAACCAGATGACCAAACCATTATAAAAATAGTGGACTCACACTATAAGTTTTATACATGGGTTCTATGCACTCAGAATTTACTCCTGCTACCAAACAGCAAGAAAAAGGTTAGCTTACATGGGTGTCACTGGGGTTCCCATCACAGTTCCACTAACCTATGGCATTTATACCATCTATGCTTTGGATATGCAGTTTAAACTCAATACATCGACAGTTTGTCTTCTAATGCTTGAAAATTCCCTACCCTTTGCAATATATCACTCAAATCTTTAAGAAATGTGATGCACTGATCTAAATAGGAATGCAATATACAGTGGGCAAAATATTTATTTGATACCCTGCAGATTTTGTAAGTTTGCCCACTTACAAAGAAATGAAGGGTCTATAATTTTCATCATAGGTGTATATTAAATGATAGAGACAGAATATCAACCTCAAATCCACACCGAAACATGATACAAATGTTATAAATTGAGTTGAAGTTCAGCGACTAAAATAAGTATTTGATCACCAAGTACGAAGTTATGTTTTGCTTGGGGATCAAATACTTATTTTCCTAGCTGGAGAAACCCTTGTTGGCAAGCACAGACATAAGACGTTTGTTGTAGCTGGTTGGTTTGCACACATCTCAGGAGGGATTTTGGTCCACTCATCTACAAATCTTCTCTAAATCCTTAAGATTTCTTGGCTGTGGTTTGGCAAATCTAAGTTTTAGCATAATAAAAAATACTATAAAAAATTATAGACCCTTCATTTCTTTGTAAGTGGGCAAACTTACAAAATCTGCAGGCGATCAAATAATTATTTTCCCCACTGTAAATGCCAAGAGTTTGGACATGGAGCGAAATGTGATGGGTCGCTATGGCAGATGTTCAATGTCTAAATAAAAAATACCATCCTGTGGGAGCTGTGGTAAAACTCTAATTTTATAGATATAAATCCTTATTTTACACCTTTTTTTAATAAGAGATGACAGGGTATTCTGATATATGACAGTAGGATTTCTTTTTAAGAACTCATAAGCTGACCTATCACTCAGCCTCGTAGACTCAATCAAATAATAGCTTTTGGGTAATCACTTTGATACCCACCTTGTCTGCAGGTTTAACCACCAAATCCTGTTGATTCATTAACCACTTAATTTCCCTTTATTCCTGCTCTGGTAAATTAGAAATACACTTAGGATATAATACTGCTTTGAATCCTGAAAGAGTTTGCCTATGCAAATTCTAGTGGTGTACATGCAGAAAAAGGGAGCATAAAAGTACCCACTCCAGTGTTGTCCACAATATTTTGTTCATGTGTCTCCTCAATTTCAATCTTCTCCCCAAATAGCAATTCAATCAAATCCATCAAAACTGGACTGTATATTAGTTCATCTGGAGGAATATTTGCCTGTTGATGCTTACTATTCACACAATATACAGGAAAGGCTAGCTAACACCTAACCTCCCCCCCACATTTTAGCTGACCATAATATAGGTAATTTTTTTTTTTTTTTTCAACCAGCGAGTTGAATGAAAAAAATGAGCTGATTCCTCCATCCACACATTCAAAGTGCAGGGGGGAATCCTCTCCACTGTGTCATTATATTCTGACAGCAGGGAGACTCCCCCCACCATTAGAATATACGGGTCAGCGCTGAAGGCTGTATTTCCCCCCTTGTCTTTAGGTTCCACCACCAAAATTCTGTTGATTATTTAACCTCTTCATTGCCCTTTATTCCTCCTCTCTTGGTAGATCGACTTCTGTTCAACCACAGTAGCGACACATGGATAAAAATTCAGTCGGGTCATTAGGGACCCTGGTACCTTTTTTATAGGCTTTTTTGAGTGTGGGCAAGGACACAGGGGCCACATGATCCCCTATTGCCCGGGGGCCCCATGAGTTGTCAGTCCGCCCCTGTTAGGGACTAGCCAAATTTTGATCCATGTGTGGCAAGCTTTATTCTAACTCATGCTGAATGATAATTGAAGGATAACATTGCTAAAAATCTATCTGAAAATGCTAATTGCTTTCCAATCACTGGCTCCAATACTTTGACATCAGAGCTAAGTCAGAACTTTGATCTGCATAAAGATTTACTATAGCTTAGTGTCTCAGAAAGAAGCCAAAAGGTTAGCAGGACACCTAGCATTTTCAGAAAGCATGATTTGAAATGACAGCCTCCATAATTTACTCAGTAAAGGTCCTTTAACTCCCTAATCTGTTACCTTAACACTAACCTAATTTCTAACACTAAAACTAAATCTGGTAACAAAATACTTTTCTCATGGCCCAAACATTGGCATTGAAACTAACAGCTGACTAAGGTCATTACTGTAGGAGGACAACACAGAATTTGACTTCAAAGTCTCTGCACTCAGCCCCATACCTGCTGTAGGCCCAACATAGAGGACAGTTTGCCAGTGTAAGGATCAGCCTTGAACCTTAGCCATCTGTTAACACTTACTTGCCCTCACTAGGAAACTTTAATGTGAGGCCACAGCTTCAA